CCTAGTGCTCACCCTCCTTCTCCCAGTGGGGTTATGGGAGGCTGACACGAATATAAAGTTATGAATAGGCTGCCCTGAACACATTGAAACGTGTGCATGCTCTGTCTAACTGCATTGTATGAATGGAGCCTGAGTGTTTTTATCAGTCATTGTGTCACCACCAGAAATGAGCATTCTTGAAACAAAATATACTAATATATTGCCATCGTTGTGCACATGAAGTCTACAGGGGCTGTCAGCTTCCAGTCGTTTATGATTTGTATGTTCAGTGAATACATAGAATGAGTCAAACACAAGGCTTGAGGGTTGAATCTGGCCCACCAGGTCATTTTATGTGGCCGTTGCACCACTCCTGCAGCTGTGGCACCCCTCTCATCTCCGCCCTCCAGTCTTGGCATTTGGCAGCAAAGAGGACAGAACTCCTCCACCAGATCCTATGCTTCTTCTCTGCCTCCCTTGGTCCCAGCATTCAGCAGACTCCGGCAGCCTACTCCAGCCCTCCTCTGTTCCTCCTCCAGATGCTGCACTTTCTGCCTACCAGCTCCACCCCCATCTTTTTCCCAAAAACAGCACAAGGTAAGGGGGACACACTGTGATGTAAAGGAGGGTGGGGGGCTCTTGACTTCTGATGGTGGGGGGCTCTTGAAAACTGATACAAAAGGTGAATTTGAACTCTGAACGTCTAGTCTTACAGATACAACCTTAAGGGCAGATGCAGTCCACGATGAAATTGAATTTGCCACCCCTGGATTACATCGTCACTAATGGTTTCCGACATGTAAAAACTTGGAATCAAGCAGGTAGTTTCTCTCTCTGCTGTACTATTGAGTTGGATCAGTGGAGACTGCAGACAGACTGTACATAAACAAATCCTGACTGGACTGACAGCAGGGAGGAACAAAGATCTATACTCAGACAAAAAAAAAAAATTTTTTTTAAAAACTATATATATGTATATATATATTTTTTTTAATATAATGGGGCAGACTCGAAGAACCACTTGGTCTTTTTCTGCCACCACTCTTCTAAGTTTCTCTGACATAGGCATAGGGAAGTATATACTGTATAAAAAGTTGCTTGGTGGCCATGAATAAATTAAAAAAAGTGTTTTCATAGTATTATGTATATGTTGAGGGAAAAAAAAAATTATGTTCCTAATTTAGAAGAACCATGTGGTTGTTGTATTAGATTATGCATCCATAGGGGAATAATCTGCAAAAACATATCGCCTGATGTAAATGTACCACAAGGAAAGTTTCTAGGGGAACGTAGAGTGTTCCAATTTGTTTTCATGATATGTGAAGCAGATCAGCATAGTTGAGAATAAAATTAGAAGCTTGTGCTAAAGAGAGCCCATACTTTTACCCAGGGCCGCTGGGGGAACGGGGGGAGGGGGGGGGTTAGAGCTGGCCCTCCAGTATGGGGCACGGGCCCAGGGGCAGAGAGGGAATTCTTAATACCTTTGGGTGCATGCACAGTAATTCCATGGGCTGTGGCTCCCAGCAATTAAACAAAAGTTCCCCGGGTCCCATCAATTCAGCAGCAGGGGCCAGGACAGACAGAAGGGACTACTTGCTCATTTTAAGGAGGTGGGATAATTCTGTGCTGTGGCTCCTGACAATTAAGTTTAATTTCTGGACTTCTTCTTCTATATTAATCCACCGGGGTGGGTCAGATTGTTTCCTTAGGTACCACTGATCGTGGAAAGCTGTCAATTAAAAAGGCATATAAAATTTGGTTTTCATATATGATGCTTGTGTCCCAGAAAACAGGAGGTCAAACGGGCAATAGCTCAAGTGTTCATCCGAACAATCAAACAGCCAAACTTCACTTCGAGAAATTGGCTCATCCCTACTCAAGGGGGGCAGTCATACAGTGTGGGGCCCCACAATTTCTAATGGTGGCCCTCCTTTAACCACACTGATCAAAGTAACAGTTCGCTTTGCAAGAGGCAGCTTGTACTTGCCTCCCCCTAGTCTTAAGACAAGGAATATGAAAGCAGCAGTCTGGATCAATTAGGGCTCTTCATCTTTAAAAAAAATTCTCTCCATTTGAAAGGATCCTTGCTGACAAGACAAGATAGCAGTGTGGTGACGGTCGTCCACTGTCCAATCGGCAGCCTGGGGGAGGGTCAGTGACCAAACATTTTGCTTAACTGCTGTGGAAAAAATGTATGGTCACTGACTATGGATCACAAGACTAACTAAACAGAATAAAAAGTCCTTTTAGCAACATACAGTTGCAAGAAAAAGTATGTGAACCCCTTGGGATTACATGGAGTTTTGCATGAATTGGGCATAAAATGTGCTCTGAACAACATCTAAGTTACAACAATAGAAGAACACAGTCTGCTGAACATAATACTACACAAACATTACATGTTGCCATGGTTTAATTGCACATAACATGTAAACATTCACAGTGCAGGGAGGAAAAAGTATGTGAGGCCCTAGCTTAATGACTTCTCCCAGAGCTAATTGGAGCCAGGAGCGAGCCAACCTTGACTCCAATCAGTGTGATGACATTGGATGTGTTGTTGACAGCTGTCCTGCCCTTAAAAAACGCACACCTGTTTTGGGTGTACTGGTTTCAAGAAGCACTGTCTGATGTGAACCATGCCTCGCAGAAAAGAGCTCTCAGAAGACCTACGATCAAGAATTGTTGACTTGCATGAAGCTGGAAAGGGTTACAAAAGTATCTCCAAAAGCCTTGATGTTCATATGTCCACGGTAAGACAGACTGTCTACAAATGGAGAAAGTTTAGCACTGTTGCTACTCTCCCTAGGCTTGGTCGTCCTGTAAAAATGACTGCAAGAGCACAGCGCAGAATGCTGCATGAGGTAAAGAAGAATCCCAGAGTGTCAGCTAAAGACCTACAGAAATCTCTGGCACATGCTAACATTTTTGTTGACACATCTACAATAAGGAAAACATTAAACAAGAATGGAGTACATGGGAGGACACCATGGAGGAAGCCATTGCTGTCCAAAAAGAATATTGCAGCACGTTTGAAGTTTGCAAAAGAGCACCTGGATGTTCCACAGCACTACTGCAAAATATACTGTGGACAGATGAAACCAAGATTGAGTTGTTTGGGAAGAACACACAACGCTATGTGTGGAGAAAAAAAAGGCACAGCACACCAACATCAAAACCTCATCCCCACTGTAAAACATGGCGGAGGGAGCATCATGGTTTGGGGCTGCTTTGCTGCCTCAGGGCCTGGACGGATTGTTGTCATTGATGGGAAAATGAATTCCAGAGTTTATCAAGACATTTTGCAGGAAAACGTACTACCATCTGTCCACCAACTGAAGCTCCGCAGAGGATGGGTGATGCAACAGGACAATGACCCAAAGCATACAAGTAATTCAACAAAACAATGGCTGCAACAGCACAGAATACGCCTTCTGGAGTGGCCCAGTCAGAGTCCTGACCTCAACCCGATTGAAATGCTGTGGCATGACCTTAAAAGAGTGATTCACACCAGACATCCCAAGAATATTGCTACACTGAAACAGTTTTGTGAAGAGGAGTGGTCCAAAACTACTCCAGATTGTTGTGCAGGTCTGATCTGCAACTACAGGAAACATTTGGTTGAGGTTATTGCTGCCAAAGGAGGGTCAACCAGTTATTAAGTCCAAAGGTTCACATACTTTTTCCTCCCTGCACTGTGAATGTTTACATGTTATGTGCAATTAAACCATGGCAACATCTAATGTTTGTGTAGTATTATGTTCAGCAGACTGTGTTCTTCTATTGTTGTGACTTAGATGACGTTCAGAACACATTTTATGCCCAATTCATGCAAAACTCCACGTAATCCCAAGGGGTTCACATACTTTTTCTTGCAACTGTATGTATATCAAATTGAATTGCCAATATCTATTTAGGTAACATACAAGTATTAACAAGGGCTACAAAGGCTACAAAATATTTAGGGCCAGTTAATACCACAAAAACACACTGCAGATGCATTTCAGATGCATTTTTGCTTACAGTTCAACACCACACTCCGTTCTGGTGCATTTTTGATACGTTTTGCTGTGCTCCGGTACAGTTCTGTGCAGAAAAAATGCAGCATGTTCTACATTTTTCTGCACTGGAGCTGACTGCACTGGTGTGAACCAGGGTCATTGGAATACATGATACACTGTGCATGCATTTTTGATGCAACTGTATCTGAGCACTACAATCTGAAAAGCTGTTTAAATTATTTTTAAGTCTTCATGCTTTATTTTGTTAAGAAATCACTTTGAAAAATACCCCCCTAGCATTTCTGGCCGTGGCCATCTTGAGCAAGGGCAGATGATTCATGTAGCATTTACTTCCTGGTATTCATCTGTCCTTAGCTCAGGCAGGAGGGTGTGCTTAGCTGAGAAAGCCCCTCCTCCCCTCAAATCTCATGATGACTCCAGGGATGTATGACATCATTTTGGCCTAGGCCAGAAACCAGGAACTGTCGAAAAAAAAAAAAAAAAAGTTTAAAAAAAGGTAAATATAATATACCTTTCTATCCATTTACTATTGCTAAACAGCAAAAAGGATTAAGAATAGTTAATGATTGAGAGAGTTTAGTTCTGCTTCAGTTTAATATGAAACATTTTATTAAATAATTCGAATAAAAAATGTTAAAAAATAAATGTGCTTGGAACACTAGCAATATTACATGACTTTACATTTTTGTTCAATCTTCCAGATATATGTTGGGGGATTAATCAAGATATCCTAACCTTATATGACCTTCTGATATAGATATATATTTTTTTTATTTTCAAATGCAAACATTTGATCATCCGGGCTGCAGAAAATGGAAATATATATATCTGCCAAATCCAGAAACATACTCCAGGCATCAACAGTCACCCCTTGAATTTGTGCATGGAAGAAGAAATAAAATAAAAAATCTTCACTTTAAGAAATAAAAAAAAATATATATCCCAGATGATTTTTCGGCAAAGTTTTATCTGCTGTATTCCAGCCTCTGGCGATCAAGCTCTCTTAACTAACTGAAAATTTTTTTGTAATGCACAGCTCTGGTGGTTAATGTAAGTTTTCATTCTAAAATGTTCTCTCTAACCAAAGCCCCTAAGCATTTTGATAAGTCTGGGGAAGATTTAAAATGTTTCAGCTAACTTATCTCATAGAATTATGGGGAAGGAAAACAGGAAAAAAAAATGTCTGTGTGTGTGTGTGCATGTCTACACGGGCTAATTTGTGTGCGCTACAAGGGAGGAACAGACAGCGACAGGAAAAGCTGCATCTCTAAGCAACACACACTTATTTTATGAAACTTTCTAAGGGCTAATATTTTTTAAATGTTCAAAGCTGCCAACAACCTTTACTGATCTCCAGGCAAAGAACTAATACACAAATAAAAGACCTATAAGGGAGCCGATTAACCTGCCAAAGGATTCGTATTGCTTCAGACCTGCCATACAAGCACAGCCAGGTTGATGAGACCACTTCCAGATAGAGCCCAGGTATGGATATTTTTGAATAGCTACGTTGGTCCTGCTAGAACCAATGCAAGTTTGTATATACACTTACCAGCCACTTTATCAGGTACACCCGAGCAATTGGTTGGTAACACAAATTGCTAATCAGCCAATCACATGGCAGCATCTCAATGCATTTAGGCATCTAGACGTGGTGAAGATGACTTGCTGAAGCATCAGAATGGGGAAGAAAGAGGATTTAAAGTGTTACTAAATCTAGGATCCTGCATTCACTATATCTGGTCTCCCACAGTACACAGAACATGGAGACTCACTCAAGACTTGGTTCTGGCCAGCTCAGTGGATTGCTTTAACCACTTCCAGATCGGACACTTTTACCCCCTTCCTGACCAGGGCAATTTTCAGCTTTCAGCGCTATCACACTTTGAATGACAATTGCGCGGTTCATGCAACACTGTACCCAAATGAATTTTTTACCATTTTTTGAGACAGATAAAGCTTTATTTTGGTGGTATTTATTCACCGCTGGGATTTTTATTTTTTTTGCTATGTAAATGAAAAAGTCCAAAAATTTTGAAAAAGGTTTTTTTTTTTTATAAAATTTTGCAAATAAATAATATTTCATCATAAATCTTTGCCAAAATTTATTCCGTTATCTTTTTAGTAAAAAAAAAAATCCAAATTAGTTCATAACCAAAAATTATAATTTTTTTTAAAAAAAATTTTTACATTTGTATGTTATTTTTTAATATTTTTTATTTTTATTTTTTTACATACTGTCACCCTAGCCATGGTGACACTGTACTACTTGTGGGGGGTGATGAAGATTTATTTATTTTTTTTTACACCGATTGCTTTTACACCTATATAGGATGTAAAAGCAATCATTTCTCTTTCTCTCTGTCTGCATTCTTGCACTCATTGAGAAGTACTGAGTGAGCTGTGATTGGTCACAGCTTGTCACATGGTACAAGGCTCTTGTGAATAGCCTTGTACCATGTGACCTCTGTGATCATTCACAGATTTCACACGTAGTAAGCAATGATGTCACAAGTGACATCTTGCTTACTACTTTGCATGTGATCACTGATTGGCCAATCAGTGATCACAGGATCGGTACCTCGTACAGAGGTCCCGTCCGACGATCGGTGTTTCACTGTGTCCAGAACCGGAACACGGTGCTGCGCGCTCCCAGGGAGCGCGCACAAGCAGGGTGCGGGGAGGCCGTTTATAAATGGCCACCCGACCCTGCACTGCCACCGTCCGGCCATTTATATGCAACAGCCGGTCGGGAAGTGATTAAAAAAGTCTTGGATTCTTTCCTAGATACATAGAATATAGCTGGATACTAACATTTATAGGTAAAGTTGATCCAGGGAATATCAGATTGCCTCTTGGTGGATCAGAAAGGATTTTTTTCCCCTGCAGGAGCAAATTGGATCATGCTTTGCTGGTTTTTTTTGCCTTCCTCTGGATCAACTGTGGGTGTATGAATATATCCTTTTTGTAAATTATTTTCTGGTTGAACTGGATGGACTTTTTTCTTTTTTTCAGCCAGACTAACTATGTAAATATATAAATGCAATCATGTTAGTAAACATAAACTGCTAAACACTTTCTCATCAGCAGTATATAGCCGTCTTGTGACTTCTATCAGTGTCTAGCAAAGCACTGGTCAAAGTTTGGAGGAGGAGTTTTCCTCTAGGATGCAGGACCCTTGACCTCTGTCTGGACAGTGCTGATTGGCCCTGTGCTGATCACATGCACTCTCCTAAGAAAAAAATCTCTTTAGCAATACACACAAAACTGAGCATGTGCAGAGAGACTCCAAACCTCTGTGCTATCAGTAGATGGATTGGGGACAATGGATCAAGGGGAGGATCACAAAAGACAGGATCAAACATCCTTTTTACACAATGTGGAGAATTAACCCCATAGGTTCCACAGCAAGTATATCAAGCATGCTTTACTGCATATACAGACTGATTTTACTGTTGTGGGTTTAGCACCACATTTCCACCTCAAATCCATCAATTATATGATCTAATTTTGTCAATTTCTTCTATAATGCTTCAGTATGTGTATTGAATTGAAAACAAGCAATCTGTGTATGTAAAGCTGTGATGGGGAGACGATGGGATTTTGAAGTGTGTCCTGAAACAAAGGTCCACCTCTTTAGGAGAAGGTGAAGAGAGAAGTATATGTATACTCGCCGGCCACTTTATTAGGTACACCTGTTCAATTGCTTGGTAACATAAACTGCTAATCAGCCAATCACATGGCAGCAACTCAATGCATTTAGGCATCTAGACGTGGTGAAGAGGACTTGCTGAAGTTCAAACTATGCATCAGATTAGGGAAGAAAGGGGATTTAAGTGATTTTGAACATGGCATGGTTGTTGGTACCAGATGGGCTGGCCTGAGTATTTCAAAAACTTTTGATCTACTTGGACTTGCACAACCATCTCTGGGATTTACAGAGAATGGTCTGAAAAGGAGAAAATATCCAGTGAGAGGCAGTTGTGTGGATGAAAATGCTTTGTTGATGTCAGAAGTCAAGAGGAGAATGGGCAGACTGGTTCAAAATGATAGAAAGGCAACAGTAACTTAACCATTTGTTACAACCAAGGTATGCAGAATACCATCTCTGAATGCACAACACGTTGAACCTTGAAGCAGATGGACAGCAGAAGACCTCTTTGGGTGCTACTCCTGGCAGCTAACAGGAAACGGAGGCTACAATTCGCACAGGCTCACCAAAATTGGATAATAGATGACTGGAAAAATTTTGCCTGGTCTGATGAGTCTCAATTTCAGCTGCAGCATTCAGATGATAGGGTCAGAATTTGGTGTAAACAACATGCTTGAGGTGATTGTAGCCGTATTAGTGCATTTGCAACAGAAACAATTGAGTACTGTCCGTGATACTTTTTTTATTTGCACTAACATACAATTTTGAGGACAAGCTTTCAGAGAGTGTCCCCTTCTTCAAGGTCCAAGCAGTACTATACAAATCACAACGTTTTAGCAGAATGTTAGAAGAGATGAAAAAAAAAAAAAAAAGGCTAGAGATAAGACACAGCAAAAGCAAAAGGGGGGGGGGGGGGGGGGGGGGGGGGGGGGGGGGGGGGGGGGGGGGACAACACTCAATCACTCAGAGGGAGTCAAGCTTGAGCTGATAGTCAAACTATTGGATAATGATTGAGGAATCCCATGTCCAAATTCAGGCCGTTAGCTCTTGTGTCAAATAGAATTATCATTCTTAGTTCAAACGTTTTTCTTTCCTGAATGGATTTGAAATTTCCTTTAAGAACTAAAATATTGAGTGGTGTCCCACATGTGAAGTCATCTTCTTTATGTTCCTTGATGGTATGTCTGTGCAAATTCATCCTTGTTTGCAACTTCTGTCCTGTTTTGCCAACATAAGATCCTTTGCTGCATTATCCTTATCCAGTGCAGAAAATGCAGCAAAGGATCTTATGTTGGCAAAACAGGACAGAAGTTGCAAACAAGGATGAATTTGCACAGACATACCATCAAGGAACATAAAGAAGATGACTTCAGCACACCTGGCACACGACTGGCTGGTGGTGGTGTAATGGTGTGGGGGAGATTTTCTTGGCACTAGCAAGGTGTACCTAATAAAGTGGCCGGTGAGTGTTAGGTGCATGCAGTTTGTGGTTCCACAGTAGTGAATGCAGTGGGGTGTTGGTTTGGGTCTGATCAGGATACCTGAGAGTTTGTTTGCATCCCCCTGCCTCTGGAAGAAGCTTTCAAAGCATAGGGAGGGAGATTTAAATGATCAGGCTCTGAAATAATCTCAACAATTTTGTTGTGATCCACCCAGTTGCCTGACAGCTGGCTCCGCCTCTCAGGCTGATAGCTGAAGCCAGCTTTGCCATCCCCCTCTTCTGCCCCGTGCTCTATTGAGCGCTGGAGAAGCAGAATGGAGCATATTGACTGACAGTCACTGCTGTCCTCTCTACGAAGCCTGAGAACTGAGTGATCAGCGGACATGTGATTGCTCCAGCTGACGTGGGAAAGCTACAGTATCACACCGATGCTGCAGGATAGAGCTGAGTATTTATATTTGTTTTTCTAAGGTCATACTTCTCCTCAGGGGCAAGCTGACAACTCACGGGGCCCCCGGGCAATGGGGGGTCATGGGACCCCTGTGTCCTCGCCCACACTCAAACCACACCCAAAAAAGCCTATGAAAGGTACCAGGGGCATCTCATGGGGCCCCCTACTGACCCCGGGCCCTTGGGCAGTGCCCGAGTTCCAAAATGGTCAGCCAGCCCCTGATTCTCCTTTAAGGAATTGAGCATGATGTATAATTTCTGTGAGCTGAACTGAAAGCTCAAACAATGTTATCTTCCTTCTGTAAACTACTAATCTCCCCAAACCCTATGCAATGGAGAGAAAAATAAGAAGACCTATTTGTAGTCCAGCCTGGGTGACAACCATGGCTCTTTCCATAAATACAGTGGAGTGAGCGTGGCCACCCAAGGACAGGAAGTGTATTATCCACAGGAAAATAAAGGGAAAAAGCCTGAAAAACAGA